TATTTACATGAACATACTGCCACATATTTACACCACATACTGCCACATTTTTAACCTACATACTGCCACCTATTTATCCCACATACTGCCTCATATTTACATGAACATACTGCCACATATTTACACCACATACTGCCACATATTTACATGAACATACTGCCACATATTTACACCACATACTGCCACATATTTACATGAACATACTGCCACATATTTACATGAACATACTGCCACATATTTACACCACATACTGCCACATATTTACTTGAACATACTGCCACATATTTACATGAACATACTGCCACATACTTACACCACATTCTACCACATATTTAACCTATATACTGCCACCTATTTATCCCACATACTGCCACATATGTGAAACGCATACTGCCACATATTTACACCACATACTGCCACATATGTACAAAACATACTGCCACATATTTAACCCACATACTGCCACATATTTACACCACATACTGTCAATATTTACATGAACATACTGCCACATATGTACAAAACATACTGCCACATATTTACACCACATACTGCCACATATTTACACCACATACTGCCACATTTTTAACCTACATACTGCCACGTATTTATCCCACATACTGCCACATATTTACATGAACATACTGCCACATATTTACATGAACATACTGCCACATATTTACACCACATTCTACCAAATATTTAACCTACATACTGCCACCTATTTATCCCACATACTGCCTCATATTTACACCACATTCTACCACATATTAAACCTACATACTGCCACCTATTTATCCCACATACTGCCACATATTTACACCACATTCTACCACATATTTAACCTACATACTGCCACGTATTTATCCCACATACTGCCACATATTTACATGAACATACTGCCACATATTTACATGAACATACTGCCACATATTTACACCACATACTGCCATATATTTACATGAACATACTGCCACATATGTACATATTGACATGGATATGATTTTGTCTTGTGGTATGGTATTTGTCCAGGCATGGTCACCGATTGTACGTAATATGATTACTAAATATATCAAAGAAGAATGAAATGCTGGCAATTACACTCTAGAACGAAATATTGCAATAAATTCATCACGAACTTCTGAAATAATTCAAACGAATCCCAGACTAACCAACATCTCAAGGTCAGTTGTCCGATTATAACACATCTCAATACGGGCATTTACATACTAAACATATGAGCCTGTATCAGGTGTACTCCCACATCAATAAAAGGCTGTTTAAATAACGTTGAGTCGATATCAACGAGTGGATATGTGTTTTGTACAGATGTTACGTTGATACAGTTTCTCCCAGCCGAGAAGACCCTTGATAGACATTAAACACATATATGGGCGTTTTTACGAGTTCATCCGACCTGGCTGTAAGGAAAAGTCATACAATACTACCGGTGTGAGAATATGACGCATGCACAATGACGTCGCTCATACAGAGGTATTCAGTGCATGACGTTGGCCGGCCTGATTGTCACAAGGACATATACATGTGATACATCACATCGTATAGCACATCATCCTTTGTCAAAATCCTAACTCTCAATTTGACATGAAGGTTGTGTTTTCATGACCTCAGTGAAGCCTTCAAAATGTTTTATGGTTGGCGGGTGGTGGACATTTCCAAATGTGACAAAAATGATGTTTGAAGCAATTCCCTGTTTTGATTTGCACCAAATGTGCCTGTGATTTTTATAAGAATAATTGACTTGCTTTTGCATGTGTTTGTGACGGGTGCCACGGGTGGGAAGGATGTTCTCACCTTTTCACGGATACCGGGTATCATCACTCTTTGAAAGTGATTCATAAATATACCTTATGATCTGGTCAGAATCGTACAATGGACTCTGCTTTTAACAGACAATTACGGAAATATGTGTATTTTTTAAATGAATGTATGATAATATGTTTATTTAGAAAACCACACTCATAACATAGATCAGGTGTGATAAATGAACAGCAAATGCCCTCCAGTTCACAATAGACCTAGATGCCGAGCATGATGCGCTGTGTTTGACATATATGTACATAGTGTTTCAACGTTTGAGTCATGCATGGCTTACCACAGCTGGTAGTGTCACACACATGTACCATAGTCTGGTGACGGGATCCACGAGTGCTTAAAACACGGAAATTATTCACAAACTGGAATTACATACGAGCTGTCATTGTGGCAACGCAACTATGTGTATTTATAGAAGGTAGCTATATGCGGATGTAGCAGGCCAGGTTTTAATATAAGTGACATGTGTTCTTGGCCAGGGAGGTCTAAAGAGGGAATTGTGTGAGTGGACGGATAACATACGGGTGGTGGCTTCCCTGGGCTTGTGGCCCTGCAGGTAGGTGTGTGACGACTGGGGTATACGACAATAACAAAGTGTGTATGCGGCGTTCGTTGTATTTTGTGAGGCCATGTACTGCGTAGTGATGATTTACAGGTGTCCATGGTCGTTATGCTCCATCTGAATATTCCGACCTGTTCGTCTCACTAACCTACATGTTTCGAGATAATTAATGTGGAGACATGGTTCACCTTGGTTTCCGCACGTGTCACTGTGTGCGTTATTGAGACACTGGTGTGACCGCTAGTATAGACACAGCTCACATTGGTGGACTAACTGGCCACGGTGTGCGTTATTGAGACATTGGTGTGACTGCTAGTAAAGACACAGTTCACCTCGATGGACTAACTGGCCACGGTGTGCGTTATTGAGACATTGGTGTGACTGCTAGTAAAGACACAGTTCACCTCAATGGACTAACTGGCCACGGTGTGTGTTATTGAGACATTGGTGTGACTGCTAGTAAAGACAAAGTTCACCTTAGTGGACTAACTGGCCACTGTGTGTGTTATTGAGACGGACACTGGTGTGACCGCTAGTATAGACACAGTTCCCATTGGTGGGCTTACTGGCCACTGTGTGCGTTATTGAGACATTGGTGTGACTGCTAGTAGAGACACAGTTCACCCTGGTGGACTAACTGGCCACTGTGTGCGTTATTGAGACATTGGTGGGACTGCTAGTAGAGACACAGTTCACCCTGGTGGACTAACTGGCCACTGTGTGTGTTATTGAGACGGACACTGGTGTGACCGCTAGTATAGACACAGTTCCCATTGGTGGGCTTACTGGCCACTGTGTGCGTTATTGAGACATTGGTGTGACTGCTAGTAGAGACACAGTTCACCTCAATGGACTAACTGGCCACTGTGTGTGTTATTGAGACATTGGTGTGACTGCTAGTAGAGACACAGTTCACCTCGATGGACTAACTGGCCACTGTGTGCGTTATTGAGACATTGGTGTGACTGCTAGTATAGACACAGTTCACATTGGTGGACTAACTGGCCACGGTGTGCGTTATTGAGACGGACACTGGTGTGACCGCTAGTATAGACACAGTTCACCTCGATGGACTAACTGGCCACTGTGTGCGTTATTGAGACATTGGTGTGACTGCTAGTAGAGACACAGTTCACCTCAATGGACTAACTGGCCACTGTGTGTGTTATTGAGACGGACACTGGTGTGACCGCTAGTATAGACACAGTTCCCATTGGTGGGCTTACTGGCCACTGTGTGCGTTATTGAGACATTGGTGTGACTGCTAGTAGAGACACAGTTCACCCTGGTGGACTAACTGGCCACTGTGTGCGTTATTGAGACGCTGGTGTGACTGCTAGTAGAGACACAGTTCACCTCGATGGACTAACTGGCCACTGTGTGCGTTATTGAGACACTGGTGTGACTGCTAGTAGAGACACAGTTCACCCTGGTGGACTAACTGGCCACTGTGTGCGTTATTGAGACACTGGTGTGACTGCTAGTAGAGACACAGTTCACCTCGATGGACTAACTGGCCACGGTGTGCGTTATTGAGACACTGGTGTGACTGCTAGTAGAGACACAGTTCACCCTGGTGGACTAACTGGCCACTGTGTGCGTTATTGAGACGCTGGTGTGACTGCTAGTAGAGACACAGTTCACCTCGATGGACTAACTGGCCACGGTGTGCGTTATTGAGACATTGGTGTGACTGCTAGTAGAGACACAGTTCACCTCGATGGACTAACTGGCCACTGTGTGTGTTATTGAGACGCTGGTGTGACTGCTAGTAGAGACACAGTTCACCTCGATGGACTAACTGGCCACTGTGTGCGTTATTGAGACACTGGTGTGACTGCTAGTATAGACACAGTTCACATTGGTGGACTAAGTGGCCACTGTGTGTGTTATTGAGACACTGGTGGGAATTCATGTAGACACGCAGTCAACTTCGATGGACTAAGTGGCCACGATGTGTGTTATTGATAAGCTGGTGGGATTGTTAGTACAGACACAGTTCACATCGATGGACTAAGTGGCCACGGTGTGTGTTATTGATAAGCTGGTGGGATAGTTAGTAAAGACACAGTTCACCTCGATGGACTAAGTGGCCACTGTGTGTGTTATAGAGACACTAGTTGGACTTCTAGTTGACACCCAGTTTACCTCGGTGGACTTTGGACTTTTAGTAGACACACATTTCACCTTGGTAGTCTCTTTCGTGTGTTTATTGATACAATATGTGGTAGGTAAAACTACACACCAAATCATCATTGGTACCCAAATTTAGTTAAATGAAACGTCTAAGCATCCGTCTTGATTGTCTGCTGAAACAGATTCCATTGGGTAAAATAGCGATGAAAATTGATGTTTATCATAAACGCGTGCTTTTCAAGCAAGGGTCGTGCTCTAGATTCTCTGACTGACTGATTTAGATTGTTGGTTTGCCACACCAGGCATGTGGTCATGGCACGGTCAAGCGGTCAACTGTTACAAACTTGCCCCCTACATTAAGCTGACATGCTGTGATATTATTGAAATACTGTTTGAAGGGGCGTTGAACCAAACTCACTTTCATTTTGAATGCCTAGTGTATTAACGTGCACATTTTACCTTACAGTCGAACTCAGTTCACCGTACCAAGATGGTAGGTCGGGATGTATGGATCGTTCTTCTTATCGCCCTACTTCCATGTTCTGGTGAGTACCATTAACACAATAAATGCAACATAAAAGCTAAATATAGCATAGTAAACGATAAGATGCGATAAAAACTGAAGGCTTTTCCTACATGTGTGTGTACTATATAAATACATACAGAGTTGCATCCTTTAGGAGTAGAATAGGTCTTCAGCAGCCCATACTCACCGTAAAAGGTGACTATGCTTGTCGTAAGAGGCGACTAACGGGATCGGGTGGTCAAGCTCGGTGACTTGGTTGATGCATGTCATCGATCCCAATTGGGTGGATTGATGCTTACTGGATTGTCTGGTCCAAACTCGATTATTCACAGGCCGCCGTCATATAGCTGGAATATTGCTGAGTGCGGCGTTAAACAACAAACAAACAAGACGTGATGGACGCCGATTCTTAGATAAGCCCTGATTAGGAGTCTTTCATCATCAAACAAACGTACCAGTGTGCTAAACGTCCGTATTACCTCGGGCTCTCTTCCCGGATTATTTGATATAACAACTACTGTTAGCGTCAAACCCAATTCACTCAATAGCTTCCGGGCAGATGTGATAAACACAAGACCACAGAGGTGGTTAATCAACAAATAAGATGTGTGGAATAATTATAGCTTCAGATATGGACGTCTTTGCTTTAAATGTGACAGTTCTGTAAGGCACATGTTTGAAGTTTGGTTTTCCAATGAGATACTGTCTAACTGCATCTCTAGATATATACTGAACAACAAAAGTTCCTGTTACATTGATTAAGATTTAATGCAAAGTTATGTTTTTGACCAAATCTGAAACAGTTTCGGTTTGCAACAGATAAAAGACTCCTGTAAGTATTCAAATTAAAATGCGTGATTTCATTAAAAAAACAAAAACATGAACAATATGTCAATCAACAAATCAATAGCGTGTGTGTCCACCTCTAGTTGCGATGCAAGCAACACATCTTCGTCTCATGGAAGTCCTGTGGGATAACTGTCTATATCTGCTGGAGCATGTCTCGAAGTTCCTGGAGTGTCTGTGGAACACGTGGTTGACGTCGAAGGCACCGATCCATCTCATCCCACATGTGCTCGATTGGTGAGAGATCAGGGGAACGAGCCGGTCAGGGGATGACATTCACGTTGTTTTGTTGAAGAGAATCCTGAACAAGTCGAGCAATATGAGGCCGGGCGTTCTCATGTTGAAAGGTAATGCCTGGGCCATGACGACGAAAAAACGCTAGAACAACAGGGCCGATGATCTCGTCGCGATAGCGCTGTCCATTGAGATTTCCCTCTACCACTATCAAACGGGTCCTCTGTCTTGCTGTAATCCCACCCAATACCATAGCGCTACCGCCCCCGAACAGATCTTCTTCCATGACACAATGATTGACGTAACGTTCACCTCGACGACGGTACCCTCGAATCCGCCCATCGCTTTGGCTGAGGTGAAAACGAGACTCATCAGTGAATAGAACTTGTCCCCACTGCATGGCCGTCCAGCGAAGACGCTGTCTGCACCACTGTAGACGTGCTAGACAGTGGTTTCCTGTCAAAATGGGACGTCTGGCGGGTCTTCTGTAGACAATCCCTGCACATCTGTTGCTGGCTAGAATCGATTTCGTAGGTGTGTTGTTCGAATCCAGTTGCCTTGTCGATTATTGCTCACGCGTGGCCTGCCACTCCGAGGATGGTCTCTGACTGCATTCTTCTGTTGCCAACGTTGCCATAAAAACCAAATGGTGTTTCTGTGGACGTTAAATTGTCTTGCAACATCACGTTGACTCGATCCTGCTTCAAGCATACCAATGGCTCGCAGACGCTCATTTCGTAATGTTGAAAAATTGTGTAGTGTTTTGTTTTTTTGAGTGGTTGTTGTCAGCACGATGCTAAACAATGCGTATGGAATCCCGTTAACGCACATGTTTTATACCCATTCTTGGGTAGTGAAATGCATGGGGCTTGCATAAAAGTCAACTTTCGCATGGAATGCATGCTTTTCTGTAGCAGTTGCGTTTTTGTGACTAGATTCCATATGTATACTACAATATTGAAAACCAAACTTTACTTGTTTGAAAAATACACTAAAATATTGGTGTCACAGGAACTTTTGTTGTTGAGTATATAAATTTAGTGACCCTTGTTTCGTAGCTACAAACAGCTGAACGTACTCTTCCAACTTTAATGATATTTTCACGTGATTATCTGTCACTTGAGTGGATTATCCTGAAGCGCGAACGTAATCCCACAATTATCCGAAGATATATCCGGTTGATTTTTTTTTAAATTAAAAAATGTATGAAATTGTCGATTTACCCTTGACAAAAATAGATGTTTTTCAGACATATATCATATGTTGAAAAATCCAATTACGTCTGATTTGTTCACCAAACTCTCAGGGCCTCTGATTAAGCCTGTTTTGTTTGCCCAAACAGCCCAGGGCCTTGAGAAAGGGGAGGTCTGCCGGTACATAAAGAGTAACACGCTTCAGCGCGTGAAACTCAATACCGCGGTACTGTGACATGAATGAACTGTCGAGATTACAGCTTCATGTGTCACATTCGTTTAACGTCATTTATGTTCCATATTTTCCTTTTCGCACAAACTGTTTCTCCATTTCAAATCAACAGCTTCCAACGACAGTTGTTTGTTTGTTTGTTTGTTGTTTAACGCCCCACTCAGCAATATTCCAGCTGTATGACGGCGGTCTGTAAATAATCTAGACTCGACCAGACAAACCAGTGATTGTCATCATGAGCATCGATCCTTGCAATTGGGATAGGGTGACCTTCATCAAGTCACCTACCCTGATCACCCTGTCCCGTTTTCGCCTCTTACGACAAGCATTGATGCTGAAGATCAATAGTTTTCAACCCCTGATCTTCACTGTATGATACATAGTGAAAAGTGTAAAAACATTGAAAGTTATATATGTCTTAGGCAGCAGTTTTTGTAAAATAGCAGATCATCACTCGTGGGGGATTTCGTTGCATGTGACTGCTTTAAGTTCTAGAATCAGGGAATAAACGACAAACATATAGTCACCTGAACACGTACTAGGACTAGGCATGGACTAATCCCATTATAATCAGATCTTAGTTCCTCGCTACCGCTAAACAAAGATCTGAGGACATCCCATTACAGGTCACATCAGAGCGACCTTTCGCGAAGTTTGACCGACCAATGGAATTATTGACAAGAAGTCGACATTAGCCAATCGGAAGGCAGCTGTCTCGTGCTTTACGGCACTAGTTTCAAACTGGCGACTGCGCTTCGAAACATATTTTGACAAATTTTCGATTAAAAATGTGAAAACTGAACAAACAAGCATTCTGGATTTGCAATAGATGGCTTAGATTGTACGGATTCAGTCGTAACGCCCGTAACTGTCGTTCGGAATACCCCGTGTTAAATCTTTCGAGATCAGAAAACACATTCCGACTGTCCCTTTCCTGATCAGGAAAGCGACTCTCTGATTGGTCGGATGAAAGGTCGTTCTGACACGACCCGGAATGGGATGTCCTTTGATCTTTGTTTAGCGGTAGCGAGAACTAGGATCTGATTTTAATATTGCCCATGGGCATATAGACGTTAATAGTTCTGCTGTTTGAGATGCATTAAGTTTGAAAATTTTGACTTTAATGAAACGTTTTTCCATCGAGTCAAGTGCACTTGCATTTATCAAAGAATTATCCATGTGCACACGAACAGACATCGGAATCGGAAATGAACGCATTCAAGAACGACGATTTTTGAACAAAATTATAAGCCTGCGCTTTCATTTTACTTTGGCTTAGGTAAGCAGTAAGAAACAGTTTCAATGTTAACATTACACCTGGTGTCAGGCTTGAATTGTACGAACACCTGGAGTCAGGATCAGTGCAAGGACATCATCTATTCCACCGGCAGTGATCAGATTGACAGATAGAAATCCCCTGAATTTCAAAACTTGGTGTCATTTGAAGGACAGGAACACCCTCTATACTTCGAACACCTGGTGTTAGCATTAGACATAAAACTATTACGCGAACACCCTTGTCATCACCAGAAGGGGGCCCAGTCGTCTAAGGCGCCGCAATTCGCTAAGTTGCGTTCCATAGACACACCTAAAACTTCGCCCCGTTTATCAATTAATTTATCAATTTTATTGCGTATTATATGCCTTAGGCCCACGTAAGTGAAATAAACAGTGATGAAAGCACGGATCAAACATGCTAAACATGTGTTTATCAAAAGTACGAAGAACGTAATGCTAACAATGCAATTTTCCAATAAAGTACTTTTTATCAATGTTCACTGGTAAATTAATAAAGTATTTATGGAGCAGGTCATGACATGATAGACACTCATATAGAAAATGAAATTAACCTTCCACAATATTATTGCCATTGTTTGATTGCTTGGTTCTATCAAACCGTGCTCTAACTGGAATACTGTTCAAAGCGGCGTTTAACCAAACTCACTCACTCACTCATCATCACGAGGAGAGAACTCACCTCTTTTTATCGAACACCTGATGTCATCGTTAGGCAACGAATGCTCAGCTATTACGAGGCATCATTGTTAGAAAAGTGTTGTTAGTACATTTTTGTCCTCATTAGTATTACACTGCGATTGTATTTCATGTTAACATCACAATGTAGTCATTTCTAAGTCAATGCGACTACGAAAAGAAACACTGTTCGTTTCAAACAAAATATCGTTTTGAATCCCCAGGCTGGGAGTATTGCTCGGACACGAAACACCCAGCCCCCTGTACCCGATGTCGTAATGACGGCACCGACGTGTACAAGTGCCCCAGACAGTGTGGCGGACTCAGAAACATCAACCAGTGTGATCAGGTCTGCAGTAACCAATGCAAAGACTCGGAATGTGAGTACGAAGATGGTCAAGTATCACTCCGCTGTGTGAAAGGCTGCGACAGCTTCTACACCGGCCCTGCCTGCCAACAATATTGTCAGGAAAGATGCGCCACATGTGATCAGAGCGGTCGGTGCACCAAGTGTACTGAAGGACGATACGGTGGCGACTGTGAGAAGACGTGCAATAACTGTAGGGACGGGACTTGTGGCCAAGAGGATGGGAAGTGCAACTCGGGCTGCAAGCCTGGATACCATGGACCCAAGTGTGACAAACGTTGCGATACATGTAAACAATGTGACCAAGATGTGGACGGTTGTATTTCGTGTGACCAAAACAATGGGCGGTGTTTGCTTGGGTGTACATATGGGTTTTATGGCCATAAGTGTACACTGAAGTGCCCGGGCAAGTGTATTCGGTGTAACAGAGAAAATGGGAGTTGTGTACAGTGTGAGACCGGATGGCAAGGTGTTGACTGTAGTACACAACTACTTCCTCCATCAGAGAAGCCAAAACAACAACACGGAGATGAGCCGACTGAAGAGGTGACCACAAAATCTGGACTCCTGAGCATGTTTCAAGATGAAGGTATACATCATTGGCTTTTAAAATATATATTTTAAGGACAATTTTTTAAAACAAATTCATATGTTCTGTCTACTTACAATACGAACCAAGTCAACTATGCACTGATGTGCACAACTCGTCTCTATGATACAAACAGATGTGTTAATTTTAGAGTCTGTTTCAAAAGATACGGGCCATTTGAACACTATTTCAATACTGGAAATAGAAATTACCAACTCGAAGGATTTAAAGAGGCGACGATGCCAGGAAAACACTGACTTGTTGAGCGTTAGGTTTAAAACATGCTCTTTAATTCACGGACGCTTCATTGTAACATATAGGTAACATAATATTCTATATGCCTGTGAATTTGTGTCCATTTACTCATGTCATTTGAAAAATCAGTTTCAAGTTAACTGTTTCTGTGCTCCCTTTTTTTAATTTCGACTATTACTTACTGTACTATACCCCTACTGTATATGACGTCGTCACCAACCCTTCATCTCTTGAAAACACTTACTTCTTGTATTTTCCAGATTACCTGCTGCCAGTGATTGGGTGTGGTCTGGTTCTCTTGGCTATTGTTGCTGTGGTGATCATTTGGAGGTGTAAGAAAAGGTGAGTTCAGTGTTGTACAGCGAGTGTGTGAGACGCAGGCTTGTGTGAGTGCGTGACTGTGCTGGACAAATCACTGACTGCATGGCAACAATCCACCGGTCACATAGATAGGCAAGTCTGTTTGTTTGTTTGTTTGTTGTTGAACGCCGAACTACCCAATATTCCAGACATATAACGGCGGTCTGTAAAGAATCCAGACAATCAAGTGATTGACATCATGAGCATCGATCAACGCAATTGGGATACGGTGACATGCATCAACCAAGTCAGAGAGCCTGACCACCCGATCCCATTAGTCGCCTCTTACGACAAACATAGTCGCCTTTTACGGCGAACATGGGTTGCTGGAGACCTATTCCACCCCGGGTCCAGATAGGCAAGTCACCGAGCCTGACCATCCCATCCACCTTAGCAAGCCCTTACGATGAGCATTGTCTGAATTGATCGGGTGGTCAGGCTCGGAGCTTTATTCATTGCTTGCCATCAACAAAAGGCATTACACTCAGGTGTAAGCCCATATTACTTATGCTGTGATAGTCGTATGCTTTATCTAGAATTCTGAAACAATCAGACCCGTGTAGATCCGGGTAGAGAATAGGTCTTCAGCAACCCATGCTTGCCGTAAAAGGCGACTATGCTTGTCGTAAGAGGCGATTAACAAGATCGGATGGTCAGGCTCGCTGACTTGGTTGATGCATGTGGTTCGATGCTCATGATGTCAATCACTGGGTTGTCAGGTCCAGACTCGATTATTTCCAGACCGCCGTCATATTGCATTAATATTTCTGAGTAACAACAAACAAACAAACTTAAACATTCATAAATACTTGACTAAAAGATTATTATGGGATATTTCAGATCGAAGACAAAGGCACCTGGTAACGAAGAGGAGGGAAATTGTGAAAGTGCATCCCAACACCCTAGCGTACGGAGACTAATCAATTCAAGTGGATCTGGTCCCCATTATGATGAGATAAACACTGACGACGTGGACGGTTTGAAAAAACATCTCCTGGGAGATCGCGAATTACCTCGCATCCCTACTCCTGCAAATAAACCTCTTGCCTGTCTGAGAAACAGGTCTGGGAATCTCAGCGTCCCATATATGACCCCCATAGTGGAGGCAGTGGAGGAGGAGGAGGAGGAGGAGGAGGAGGAGGAGGAGGCAGAAGAAGATGAATCTGAAACCATCCCAAAAGTTTTATTCACTCTAGAACCTCCTTCAGATGAGGAAACGGCAAGGGATTGTGCTTCCCTCCCTTCAAATGACCCTGGGTCTTCCGTGGATGGTCCCGAATTTGCGAATACAAATGGAAGTCTTGTCTTTGAGAATGAAACGAGACATGGAGCAGCAGGAGCGCCTGAGAAGGATGTTGATCATCTTAATGTTCCTGGCAGAGGTATTTACATCTTTCACAATGGTTCCAATGTCGAGAATGGGAGTTATGGCGACTACGCTGATAGCGGCCACAGTGGTTTTTCCACTCCCAAGGTGCCTGATATGTATCTTGAAAACCCTCATGACGATAACAACCAGTTTGCTTCGAATATTGCAGACCATCTCGATACGTATCTCTCCCAAAGACAGAACGTAGAGACGGATCCAGAGCTTGTGCCTGCTGTACAGAAAGGGACTTCTGAGACAGGTGCGTCGGAGTCGGATGTTCTCATTGGTACGAACACAGAGGAACAAAATATGAAGAACAACAATGAGAAAAGGGGATTCAAATCTAAGCTTCCTCTTCCAAAATGGAAGGCTAAATTCAATCAGACTTCTTTTGTGCCAAAATGTGATATGCGTGTAAACACTTCAGAGAAATCATCTATGCTAAATCGCAGGGATACAGTTGATTGTTAGAGATGTACAGTATGTTGAACGTCAGAACTAAGAAAACCATTTGAGAATGATCTCATGTGTGAAACGGAAGCACAGATCTATTGAGGTCAAGAACATCAGGAACACCTGTTTCAGTGCGTCACGTGATCCCTGCCATGGCGGATATGCGATCTGTATTTGTGTAGCATATATACTTGTTATGAAAGGATGTCATATACTTACCTACAATATCGGTCAGTGCCTAGACAGATGATATGCCCTGAACGACCTTTCTTTTGATAATTGGAGGTGGGGCAGGAGTTCTTCTAAAACAGTATATTGTCCCAGAAAATGCTGATAAAAGAAGTGTGACTGTTGAAAAAAGGAATTTGTCTGCCACACAAAATACATTGTTTTTGGTTTTGTTTGACAAATAATATTTAGGCTCATAGTTATTTGTTTTAAAAATACCTGTTTTTGCAGCTGCAGCTGAACTTATATCTCGTCTCCATATAGAATATCCCCACGAATACCAAATGGTCTGTCCAGAATGTGTCCAGAATTCTATATACAAGTATCAGAATGCCATGTTAGTTTTATAGTTTATCAAGATAGACTACTTGGTATTCTACTGGGATATTAGCAATGATTTGTATCATAGATATTATCGATCTCCATTTCTTAATGTGATGTGGTGCTTGAACCACACTGAGAAGGTATGAGGTTAATGGTATTATGTCCCGTCAATTCACTCCTTCACAGACACATACAGACACAAACATACATTCACATTCACATGCACATGCACAGACACATATGCATAGACACATATATATATATATATATATATATATATATATATATATATATATATATATATATATATATATACATACATACACAGACATATATATACATACATAGACATATATATACATTCACAGACAGACACACATATATACATACAGGCATACATACACAAACAGACATACATTCACACACACACAGACACACACTTTCACTGATAGTGCTTTCAGCAATGATTTGAAATGGAGACTGGATATTATGTGAGGTTTGGGTGCTACATTGCATAGTCGAATTGCTCTTGAGAAATAATTTATTAACCTTATCAAATCACCATAGGACGTCAACCCAAAGATGTTACAGTTATTAGTTTGCTAATGTATCTTAATACATGGGATAGTTATATAATATATGTTTCCGCTTAAGTCATCTTCCTCCAAGTTGTAAAAAATCGATGTATCAAATTTCCTCAATGTGTTCACGATTCGAGACCCTGATGCTCATCGTCTGTCATGGTGACGTGGGATTTTATGGGCGTCGCCTCCAGTCTTCGATTACTCAATCGTCGTAAAATGACTTCGGTGTTGACAATTCGTCGGATTATCATGCATCAAACGTTTCTCTTACAGGGCACCAGAGTGATCGTTATGTTTAAAACAAGCTATTTGTCTTTTTATATCCAATCAAGTGTACATAATATATAATAAAGAAAACACCGGATGTATAGACGAACATATGCACTGTAGACTATAGACTGTGCATATAAACAAGGACTATGTGTGTATGTATGTATGTATGTATGTATGTATGTATGTATGTATGTGTGTGTGTGTGTGTGTGTGTGTGTGTGTGTGTGTGTGTGTGTGTGTGTGTGTGTGTACGTACGTACGTACGTGTGTATGTACGTATATACGTGCGAGCGAATGAATGTGTGTATGTATGTATGTATGTATGTATGTATGTATGTATGTATGTATGTATGTATGTCAGTCTGTCTGTCCATCTGTCTGTGTATGTATGTACGTATGTATGTATGTATGTATGTATGTATGTATGTATGTATGTATGTATGTATGAATGTATGTGTGTGTGTGTGTGTGTGTACGTACGTACGTGTGTATGTACGTATATACGTGCGAATGTATGTATGTATGTATGTATGTATGTATGTATGTATGTATGTATGTATGTATGTATGTATGTATGTATGTATGTATGATAATAATGCTTATCACCCAAACCTTGAATTCACAAGCGATATCGCTTGGGTAAGACATCAAATGACATCACTTCTCTGCCACTGAAGCTGTTGACAATGTTTCCAAATGTATAGAATAAAGATAGTCAGATAAGTGTTCAGTTCTTCTTGGTGTCAGATCATTTGCCTACTAGATATTATCATGAACTACTATAGTAATTTATATCTCGTATACATATATCAAGAACAAATTGAAACCAAAAAAATTTACGCCGCTTTAATAAACAATATTTCCTCACAACCCGTGAATATCCGTGTTAGAATAGGTCTTCAGCAACCCATGCTTGCCGTAAAAGGCGACTAACGGGATCGGGTGGTCAGGCTCGCTGACTTGGTTGATGCATGTCATCGTATCCAAATTGCCTAGATCGATGCTCATGATGTCAATCACTGGATTGTCTGGTCCAGCCTCGATTATTTACAGACCTTCGTCATATAGCTGGAATATTGTTGAGTGCGGCGTTAAACAACAAACAAAATAAACCTTGATTGCGACCATGTTGACTTCAAATAGATACCATGGGACAATAGAAAGATCCGTTACCTCACGGCGTATAATTTGGGAGGGAAGTCTAGTGATGCATATACGTTTACCATTTTAGTGAAGTTCTTCAGGCACTGGCGCTAACAAACCATAGATTGTAATACATGCGTATTTGGGATTCGAACCCTCGGCCATCGGGTGATGACGACGTTCAGCGTAATCGTGGTAAGTACGCCCGAAATAATACAGGTCTCAGGCGTTTAACTCGTTGATTAAACCCACGAGAACGGCTATGGTGCCTAAGGGACGCAACTCTGCAGATCATACTCATATTACGAAATTTTACTCATGTAATATTCGTTACCGTGTGTGGTAACTTTGCAAAAGAGATCCCTTGCATTCCATGTTTGTTGAAAAAAACCGAATAGATTGTTTTTGTGTGTGATCGATCTGTTCGCGTGTGACCCCGACGGGTGAATGTCTGTTTCTACTACTGATGTGTGATAACTATCTAATGGCAAGATAGTTTGGATAGATTCTTTAATTAAATAGGAGCGACATTTCGACGAAGATTACACCTTTAGCAAGCAAGTGATATTACAATCTCACTACAATTATTGACCACGCATACCTTTTGTAATCAATTATATAGCCTTTTTTAAATAATATTATATTTTTAATAATTAATACTTAATTCAAAGATCCTCATTTCATTGTTCACATGTCGCTGTGATATATTTATAATATTGCTGATTTTGGCATTAAAAAAATATCCCCCATCTTACAGATGACAGAAGAAACTTTCATTTCATTTGAGCATGACGCATATATTAGCATATCGATGTCATGTCGTCACAAGGCGTCATGTTGGCACGGAAACAGTTATGAATAATGAACATGACAATTTAATATATTCCTATTACACCAATGAGTACTCACCTTAGCCTGGATATGAAAAGGTGATATGAAATGGGGTTTAACGTCACGTTCAAGATTATTTTTCTTATATAACGACATCAATGCACGTGTGTGTGGCTGCATGAGCTTGTCTGGGCTTACCCTAGTTTTGTAGTGTTAACCCACTGATATACCATGCCGAAGTTAAACATGGATAGCCTACTCGGACACAATATACTGACTCCGAGCCATCAGTCCTTGTTTTATCTTTTTAATGCCGAGCGCCAATCGGGTTAGACCCGTGAAGATTCCGGGGTAGAATAGGTCTTCAGCCACCCATGCTTGTCCTTACAGGTAACAATGCTAGCAAGAGGACCCGTGAAGATTCCGGGGTAGATTAACGAGATCGGGTGGTCAGGCTCACTGACTTGGTTGATGTATGTCATCGATCCGAATTTCGTGGATCGATGCTCATGATATCAATTATTGGATTGTCTGGTCCAGACTCGATTATTTACAGACCGCCGTCATATAGCTGGAATATTGCTGAGTGCGGCGTTAAACAACAAACAAACCAAACCAAACCAAAGCCAATCGGGTTAACAGCAAGTGTCATCTTTCAACGTCTTTTGGTACCACACGGCCGGGGATCGAACCCCGACTTTCCGCTCTCGGAGCAGACGCTCTATCCATTCCGGTTCATGGATAAAGAAGCGCGCGTATTGCAACAATTTAAACCATAGGCTTTTCGCAGACTCTTCATGGTGAAATCAAATCAGGTAATCGGGCCTAACGCTTTAATCACTGTATGATATAAGATAGGATGTCGTATGAAGCAATACTGATGTAACTGATAAATGTATTGCATGGTCATAAAAAATCGTGATTATTTTGCAGTGATTTTATTTTCGTGAACATATATTTTTTTCTGTGCTCTTTGGGGTATCATTGGCTCTCTGAAACAACAGTGACACCAAGTTAACTTGTCGAGATATCCGCAGTTCGAGACAAGTCGGTAGCTGATGTTGTTGCCGATAAAGATTGTGCAGGCGAAATAATGTTCTACGATTAAACGATATGTCAAGTAACTGGGACATGTAGAGCTTTGAGTGATTATTACGCGAGTTGAAACTGAATGAGGTTTAATAATGCTCACAGTATTTCAGTAAAACCACGTAAAACCACGTAAAACCACGTGTCAGCTTAACAATGCTCAGGGATGCAAGCCATAGAGTGTACCATTCTGATGGTAAAGAGAAAAGAAGCTATAGTTTATAATAACCTTATCTTGAATTCGAATCCTCGGCCATCGCATCCTGGCTCGCCTAAGGGACGCAATTTTGCACAGCGATTTGCGGCGTCTTAGATGAAGGGTTCCACTGCGCCCCCATGTAACTGAAGTTTAACAACAGGCTAGAGCTTTTGTTTCGGGTTCGAATCCTTGCACTGAAACAATGTGTAAAGTCCCGTGTTATTGCTTTAGACCACTGGACATAAAAATGTCGCTATCTTACGGCAAATTGCTGATCGAGTATTGGACTGAAAGCACAGCTCATAAAATCGGCATAAACTCAAGTTACATGTATCTAGTGATGAGTTACACTGTTACAATAAGTTATGTCGGAAGTAATACACTGGACGAAAATGCTTTACAATGACGTGTAAACCTCGTTACTATTTATTCAGTGGGCGGTTGGCAATAGGACAATATACAACATCACAACAAGGTTCCCACAACAAACAGGATCATGTAGGGTCTTAACAAGCATCTAAATATGGTCTAAGACGTTATAATTCAATTCAAATAAAACATAGTGAGATGGTCACAAATGATGTTTCCTGAACAGCACAGTTCAGCTTATTGTCCAACTGCAATAGTGATAAATGTCCTTCACACATATCGACACTCACACGGCCGAGTTCCAC